TGACTTATGATCAGTTCTCATACTTATGACCAATACAGCATCCGCACAGCAATATGATCAGACTTTGAGTGCTTGGCAATTGCATTTATTTATGCTTACAGCATCTCTGGATTCTGTGATGTTCATTTGCAACCTTCCTTGAGAGGTTCTAGGAACCAAAGTCAATGGGGGAAACCAGATTTATTTAATGATCGCATGATTCACTTAACCACCGTAAGTTCTTTTCTTAACCAGAATGGCGAAAAAAGGTCATAAAAGGGGGCATGGCTCACTTAACAATCGCCTTGCTTAGCAGAAGACATTTTGGGTTCATTTGTGACCGTAAGTCAAGGATTAGAATAGAATAACAGAGTTAGAAGGGACCTTGTAGGTCATCTAGTCCAATCCCCTACCCAAGCAGGAGTCCCTACACCATTTCTGACAGATGGCTGTCCAGTCTCTTCTTGAAAGCCTCCAGTGATGAAGCCCCCACAACATCTGAAAGCAGTCTGTTCCATTGGTTGATTGTTCTCACTGTCAGGAAATTTCTCTTTATTTCCAGGTTGAATCTCTCCTTGATCAGTTTCCATCCGTTATTCTTTGTCTGGCCTTCAGGTGCTTTGGAAAATAGGTTGACACCCCCCCCCCTCCTCTCTGTGACAGCCCCTCAAATATTGGAACACTGAGCAGAATAATTTATTGATCTGTTTGTTTATTTAAAACATATAGCTGCCCATCTTCCAACCAACTCTGAGCAGTTCCAATTAAGTATTAGATAGTTGGGTATGTCTAGTTTAATGAAGAGAAGGACGAGGGGGGACATGATAGCAGTGTTCCAATATCTCAGGGGCTGCCACAAAGAAGAGGGAGTCAAGCTATTTTCCAAGGCGCCTGAAGGCAGGACAAGAAGCAATGGATGGAAACTAATCAAGGAGAGAAGCAACCTAGAACTAAGGAGAAACTTCCTGGCAGTTAGAACAATTAACCAATGGAACAACCTGCCTCCAGAAGCGGTGAATGCTCCAACACTGGAAGTTTTTAAGAAGAGACTGGACAGCCATTTATCTGAAATGGTGTAGGGTTCCTGCCTGAGCAGGGGGTTGGACTAGATGACCTCCAAGGTCCCTTCCAACTTTATTATTATTATTATTAATACACCTAACTGGTAAATATACTCTTGTACGATACATTTTATGTCCTTTGTTGACTGAATCAGCCTCAGACGAAGAAGTTCAGAAGTTCAGAAGATGAGAAATGTGCTATTCTTTCTTATCCCAAGTTTGTTTAGTGAATGCCATCAGAAACGGAGCTAAAATGGGAAAGGATATTTCAGGACGCAAGAGGGAATAAAGGTTGGTAGAAGTTCAGGTAGTCCTCGCTTTATGACTATAATGGAACCTGGCCATTATGGTTGTTAGTCATGATGGTTGTAAAGTGGGTCATCACGTGACGGACCCCAATTTCACTACTTTTTGTGGTGGTCATTAAGAGAACGCCAAAGTCGTTAAGCAAACCCATTATTTACTACAGGGGATTCTGGCAGAAATGTTGTAAATTGTGGTCACATGACTATAGGATGCTATAAACTGCCATAAATGAATGCTGAATGCTTGAAATGTGGTCACATGACTAAAAAGGGGGAGGAACTAGCTGTCAGAACTCTGGGACTGGGTCATAAGTCCCTTTGGGGAGATCCATCATAACTTTGAATGGTCGCTAAGTGACCAGTTGTAAGTTGAGGACTAACTGTAGAACCAGTGGGTTTTTAAAAAACAAAAATGCATAAGAAATCAAGCTTTCTGCATCACCGGTATGTTATTCCACTTCTGCTTATTCAAACGGACAGATAATTTTCTAAAAACTATGATAAATGTAATAATCTGGTCAGACATTGTTTTCTTATTTGGTGAGAATGTGGTAAGGCTCAACAATTCTAGAAAATGGTTTTGTATGAGAATGGGGTCAATTCTAAAAGTTGAATTCTTTTTCCAAGGAACATTTTTCTGCAATATTCTTAATTTTTACTAAGCCACGTATTCCCATAAACTACTGTATAATGAATTACCTTTGGATATCTTAACTGCTGTGAAGATATGCAATGCTTTACATTGGAAAATTGACCTCATTCTGTAGATAAATGACTAACTTGGAGTCTGCTTTGTTACTTAAAATAAACTTCTATCCTAAAAGTAAATCTGATACAGAATATCACTCAGTTTGGAAACCATTTCTAGATGGCTGTTTCTAGGTAGAATTGTACCATATGCAAAATATGATACAAATATGGCCTTATTATTTCAGCACTAGCTGTACCCCGCCACGCGTTGCTGTGGCTCAGTCTGGTTAAATGGAAAAGAAGTGTGTTGCTTTTATGTCCAACAGATGGCGCTGTTTTTCAAAAAAAGCATGTTTTACCTGTCACAGGTGTGACATCTATATAATAGTAGGTATCTGTATATAAAAACATGCGCGTATTCGAATGCAATGTTGTGTCAAAATATCAAATCAATCAGTGAAGAACTTTCGGAGATTTAAGATTTTGAACAAACGAACATTTACATTTTTATTTATATAGATTGTATAATGCTTCAATCAGAAGAAACTTTAGCAGTACGCATACAAAGGATTGCAATCTATAATCTTTTTCTTATCTACCATATATTCTAACAAATATTATTCCAGATATTTGTGCTCCCTTTAATTTTAAATCAGTCTGCCATTTTTACAAGCAATATAATTCACTCAGCCATTTATAACAAACAAATGAAAGGCCGGGGGGAAAAAAATCATAGCTGAAAATCTCTGCTGTACTTTGCCTTCCTATTTTTAATCCATTTCTCCCTCTACTTCATGGATTTGTTCTCCCTTTAAAATGCCTCTTTCTCTCTCTGAATAAAGCTTTCTCCTCATCAAAAGCAAACACAAAGGGAGACACCAGAGATTTCTGATGAGGTAACTACTAACATGGCCTGTTGTTTATAAGAAGACACGGCCCACTTTTCTGTTTAGCTGGGAAGGCACAAATCAGCATTCAGGTTTTAAATGGGATATGACAGTTTGCATGAGGCCACCTCCATTTTTATTTTCTTTTAAAAATTAAGATTAAACACAAAGGAGCTTTTGGCAAAAAATACTCCCCCATTTTTTCTATTTTTCTTTTTTTGAGGGGGGCAGGCATTAGAGGCCTCTTTCTCTCTTTTGGTAAAATCATGTTTTTCCTTGAATCCTCATTAGTCCCAAAACCCACCCAAAGTGGAATGCCCGATTCTCGAAGGAACATCACAAGGAATTCTTTATTGCTAAATGAAATAAATAAATAAACATCCATCTGGAAAAAATTTAAATGTCAGTGTTCCTTTCCAGCTCTGGATGCCAGACAGGAATTTTTCAAATCCAGTATGGTCAGCTAAAAAGGGGAAGCGAAACTAAAGGACACACCAAACGCTCTCGGTCTTTGCAAAAAGCAAGGTGAATATGCTGCTATGAAAAGCTATTTCTTCCTTATATTTTTTTGTCCCCCTCTCTCTCTCTTTCTCTAACATTTCCCCTAGAATTCTAGCCACACTTGCTAGAACAGGGAAGAAGCAAAAAGCAAACAGAGCAAGAAAAAGAGGGACTGTTTTCTCAGAATCGGTCATCGGGAATAGACCTGCTTGTTTTAAAGAAGGAGGTAAGTTTCTAAATATATCCAATCTTGATTTCACAGCAAGGGTCAAACAGACAGCAAGAGGGTGGCTGTGATGATAGGAGACATCAAAAGACAATTGCAGCTTAAAGGTGAAAGAAGGGAAGGGAAGATTGCCATTCTGACTTCTTTAGAATGCAAGGACAAGTGAAACATTTTCCTTCGTTGCAGCTGCATCACAGAGCAAAACCAGCAATGATGGATTTCTAGCTATTACCAAGCTGGAAACGGAATCCATGTTCAGAAAAAGGCAAGTGGCTATCTCCAGAGAAGAATGGATGATGATGATTGAGGATGATTGAGGATGATAGTGGTGGGGTTGGTGATGTTTACCTTCCCATCCCAACGCCTGTATGGGGCTTCTGGAACAAAGCATCTAATGGTGACTTCCTTAGCTATAATACAGCATCCAGTTTTGGTCACCACATTACAAAAAAGATGTTGAGACTTTGGAAAAAGCACAGAGAAAAGCAACTAAGATGATTATAAAGGCCTGGAGACTAAAACATATGAAGAAGGGTTGCAGGATATGGGTTTGGCTATTCTAGAGAAAAGAAGGACTAGGGGTGACATGATAGCAATATTCCCAGTATTTGAGGGCCTGCGACAAAGAAAAGGAGATCAGTTTATTTTCCAAAGCACAAAGGACAAGACAAGAAGCAATGGATGGAAACTAATCAAGGAGAGAAGCAACCTGGAATTAAGGAAAAACCTCCTAACAGTTAATTAACCAGTGGAACAGCTTGCCTTCAGAAGTTGTGGGTGCTTCATCACTGGAGGTTTTTAAGAAGAGACTGGACAGCTACTTGTCTCAAATATAGAGTTTCCTGCTTGAGCAGAGGGATGAACTAGAAGATCTTTAAGGTCCCTTCCAGCTCTATTCTATTCTAACTCAAATAGCTGTTTCATGCATAACATCCAACTGCATTCATGTGCATCCTCAGCCATGGAATTTACTTGGTGGGTCATTACTGGTCAGCTTTATCCAAAATGTGCACCATCTGAAGCTTCTGGACCATTTCTGGCCCCTTGAAAATTGGAGGCTCCCCAATGGACCTCCCAAATTTAATATCAAATAATGTAGTGTCCATCATCAGCACCTAACCTTCTTTTTTTGTGCCTGCAAGTTGGACCGCCCTGTTTCAATGTAGGAAAGCTGTTGTTCTGATTCAATTTTTTTTTGTCACACCTCCAAAACCCTGCCCAAAACAATCTGTTGCTTTTTTTTTTCTCCTCAGGATGATTCAGAAACGAACCGTCTAAGAATATGGAACGCTCTCTGAGGAACATGTCCCAGCTTCATCTCTTCTTCATGGTCTTCCTTGCTTCCTTCCATTCCTCTCTCCCCTTCCACAACAGTGAATGCGACACATATCCCAGTCCTGTCTGCAAGAATCAGGCCAACTTCGTACCAGGCTATAACTTCATCGGGGAAGGAGTTGATATCACCACTCTGGAGAAGAAAGGAGCTTATGTGGTGGATATCAGCAAGTGGCAGGGACCCAACGGGACGTGTACCCTGTGTCGGAATCATAAGATGGGTGAGAAGCTGCAGAGACTCCCCCTGGTTGGGGTGGACTGGCGGGAGAAGGAAACCTGCCAACGACAAGCAAGCAACTTTGTGGATGAGTTAGACATAGATGTGGCCAACGCAGTAGCCAAAGAAGTGAAGAATGACTGGAAAATGGAGTTGGCTGAGGATTTCATGAAGGAGGACTTGGGGTTCTCCAAAGCCCAGGTGGCTTTTGCTGGCTCTCACTCCAACATGGCCATTTTTGCACATCAGAAAACCCGCGAGGACAGATACAGCTTTCTGAGGAATGAGATCGAATGCGAACATTACAGGTAAGCATCAAAGCACTTCAAAGCATAAACCAGGGGCGGGGGGGGGGATCTGCAGTAGCCAGCTTGCTGGAGAAAATAATACTACAGACAGAGACATAAGTCCAGAAATGAATAATCTTAGTCCTACTGTCACTGAAAGATTATTTAGATCAGGGGTCCCCAATTTCTTCAGCTCATCAACCTCTTGATGAAATTTCAGATGGTTCATGGACCTCCAAACATTTATTGTATGTCAATAATTTAATAAATACTACTTTAACTAATAGAACGACTACAATTAATAATAATAATAGAGTCCTTGAAGAGTCCCATTGATCCTTGGGGGTTAATAAGGGCCCCTTTGGAGAACTTTCATTTGAATCCACCTGTCCAAATCCCATCCCAAAGCTATTAAATGTTGAACGTCTCTTGGATGATGAAGAAGGGATTTCAGCTCCATCATCCAGAACTGGAATTGACCAGAATTTATTGTGGAACATGAAGGGTCCTTGGTGCTCTCTGAGCTTGGATGTTTTCTTGCAGACGTTTCATTACCCAAACTAGGTAATGTCATCAGTGCTAAATGTCTATGGAGATTCTCAGTCATCCAGGTCATGGTTATCCCAAGGGTGCTTTTTCAAGAGGCAACTGACTTTCTTGGCTTCCCTGAAGACATTTCACTTCTCGTCCAAGAATGAGAAGCGAAACATTCTCAAGGAAAACCAGAAGGTCCAGTTGCCTCTTGAAAAAGCATCTTTCAGACGATCATCGGTGCTAGTAAGGAGTGGGGTTTGCTCTCAGTTTATACTGACAGCAAACCCCACTCCTCACTAGCACTGATGATGTTTCCTAGCTGGGTAATGAAACGTCTGCAAGAAAACAACCAAGCTCAGAGAGCACCAAGGACCTCCCCCATTTCAACCTTGAGCTACAAATATCTCCTTTATTGTGGAACATCCAATGGGCTATAACAAAAGGTTGCTTAGCTCATGATAGGTCTCAGAGGCTTGTGGTAACTATTGTCCAGCTACCAGTATCAGCTCTGGGGACAAGATGCTTGATGGGTGTTGATGGCATGACTGCAATTATCTCAAAAAAACACTGGCATCCAAGTCCATTCATTCTTGTTTTAGGGGGAATGAATTGGTCTTTGTCATCCTGACAAGCAATCTTTATTCAGATAGCTGTTGTCTCTCCATCATCCCCCAGACGCTTTTGATATTGCCAGCTATAGTGTCCTCTAGGAACAACTCAAAGTTGGAGGCACTGTGTTGCAGTATTTCCATACAAAATTAGTTTTGGGGAAGTGGGCGGAAGGGCTGTGTTAGGCGCTCATGCCAGTTAACACGTGAGATAACCCAAGGCGATTTTCACCCCCGTTTTATTTGACCTCGGTATGAATCTATTATAGGTGCTAATTAGGGGAGCCTGGGTAATTGACAGAATCAAAATGTTGGAGACACACAACTCTTATTTTTCAGTTGCATCTGAGTTAGGGCTGCCTGTGCACAACCCACATTGGTGTTTGGCTGCAAATACAGATAGTCCTCAACTTACGACCACAATCGAACCAAATTTTTTTGCTGCTAAGTGAATTCTGTCCCATTTTACGAGCTTTGTGGCCACCGTTGTTATGCGAATCACTGCGGTTAAATTAGTCAAACGCTTGTGAAGTGAATCTGGCTTCCCCATTGATTTTGTTTGTCAGAAGGTCGCAAAAGGTGATCACGAATCCCCGGGACCCTGCAATTGTCATAAATATGAGTCTGTTGCTAAGCATCCGAATTTTGATCACGTGACCCTGAGGGTGCTGCAACCGTCATATGAAAAATGGTCTTAAATCCCTTGTTTCAGTGCCGTTGTAACTTCGAAGGTCACTAAATGAATGGTTGTAAGTCGAGGATTACCTGTAGCAGGCTGGATGGTAGGCTGTAGCTGAATGTAGTCAGGAATGAGGGTTTGTGGCTAAGAGTCGGCTAACTGCTCTTTTCCGGATGGGATTTTTGAAGATCTTTCTGGAATCATCAGAATTTCAAGGGCTCTCCTCACCAAAAAAATACTACTGTTTGCTGCGTAGCTACAACCTAACGTAGGAATAAAGTTCCTCGCCCTGGTTCCTCCAACACAATTTAACTGGCTCAATTTGGAGTGAGGGAAGAATAGATAATTAATCCAGGCAACTATATCTCAAGGGGGGTAAACTTTATCTCATGACAGGCTCAGTCACGGGCAGGGTTAAATTCCATCTTGTCGAGTTGCAGAACTCCCACAGAAAGGCAACTGGGACACATTGTTTGTACTTAGTTCTCTCTCTCTCTCAAAAAAAGATAGAGATAAGGAGGCAGTTAAAAAGAAAACAAGCATTTCTATTACTGGACTGACTGCCAAGGTATAGCAACACACACTGAGTGGGTGCCACAATGCCAGCCAGGCCCTGCCCGTTATGCCTTGCTTGCTTGGCTAGTACAGCTAGTGAAGAACTGGAGCGCTGCCAGTACTTTGGTGTAAAGTTTCCTCAGATACCAGATACCTCCTGGAGAGAACAAAGAGGAGCTCAGTACAGGTAGTAGTCCTTGACTTACGACCATAACTGAGCCCAAAATTTATGTTGCTAAGTGAGACATTTGTTAAGCGAGGTTTGCCCGATTTTACGCCTTTGCTTGCCGCAGTTGTTAAGTGGATCACTGCAGTTGTTAAGTTAGTAGCGTGGCTGTTAAGTGAATCTGGCTTCCCCCATTGACTTTGCTGGTCAGAAGGTCGTAAAAAGGGATCACATGATTCCAGGACAGTGCAAAGGTCGTAAATATGAGTCCGTTGATCACATGACCATGGGGATGCGGCAACGGTCATGAGTGTGAAAAATGGTCATAATTCACTTTTTTCAGGGGTGTTGTAACTTTGAACTGAACTGTTGTAAGACAAAGACTATCTGTAGTTCCAAAACTGGTGACCTTTGAACTTATTCATGTAATAATGTGCTGTCAAAATCATTGTTGAAGAGATCTGACTAAGTCAATGACTGATGGGATTAAGGACGTTGTGGGAACAGAGAATCTTAATATAGAGCTCTCCTTATTTACAGGGTAGTCCTTGACTTATAACCATTCGTTCAGTGACTGTTCAAAGTTACAACACACTGAAAAAAGCGACTTACAACCTTTTTTTCACACCTACGACCACTGCGGCATCCCCACGGTCACGCCATCAAAATTTGGATGCTTAGCAACTGGCATGTTTTTATGACGGTTGCAGTGTCCCGGGGTCATGTGATCCCCTTTTGTGACCTTCTGACAAGCAAAGTCAAAGGGGAAGCCAGATTCACTTAACAAGCGTGTTACTAACTTGCCAACTGCAGTGATTCACTTAACAACTGTGCAAGAAAGGTCGCAAAATGGGGCAAACCTCACTTAACAACTGTGTTGCTTAGCAGTGAAAAGTTGTGGACTCAGTTGTAGTCACAAGTCAAGGACTACCTGTATTTATTTATTAAATGTATATGCTGCCCATCTCACTTTCAAGCAACTCTGGGCAGCTTACAGTGTGGAAAAGAGCAGTAAAAAAGAATTTGAAAATTGAGAAAGGGAACGATTCAGAAGTTACGGCTAGTGCAGAATGCCAGGGATAGGTTTTGCAGTGAAGTACTTTACCACTAAGGCTATGCAAAACTCAGGAATTCAGGAATGGTATAGAATGTTCCATAGAGCTCCAGAATGTTCTATGTCCTCTCTGGACCATATCATTTGGGGGGGTGGCAGTTAAATGGTTTCTGGAAATAAATTCTCTGACCTGGAAGTAGTTTGAGGGGGTCAAGGAGACAGCATTCCAGATTAAACAGCCTCTTTCAGAATATTTTGACCCATTTTTGGTTAAGAAGATATACTTTTGGAAACCACCAAATCACGTGTGGAAGGATGTGATCTGATGTCAGACTTCAAAGATAGCAATAAACCACAGGGCCAGTGGTGGGATTCAGCCGGTTTGCACCACTTTGGCAGAACCGGTAGCTAATTTTTTGTTGCCCAGGCCCAGAATGGACTTCTGGAAGCGGCATCCACACAGAGAACCGGTTGTTCACATATTTGAATGCCACCACTGCACAGGGCCAAACATTCAAACCCAGAACCCAGAACCTGGTTTACAGTAGAAATTTTACGGACACGATTCTAGCTTGGTAGAGAAGCTTCATAATTGCAAGCAATCTAACAATCCGTCTATGACGGATATTTATTGCAGGTGACAACTGAGATTTATTGTGGGTTACCTTTAAAATAAATTGCAGATCTGGTACTCCAAAAAGGCACAGACAACCAGGTTACAGGTATTTCTTGATTTACGTCCACAAGGGATCCCAAAACTTTCATTATTAAGCAAGACAGGTGTTAAGGGAGTTTTGCCCCATTTTATGGCTTTTTTTAGCCACAGTTGTTAAGCGAATCACTTCTATTCTATTCTATTCTATTCTATTCTATTCTGTTCTGTTCTGTTCTGTTCTGTTCTATTCTATTCTATTCTAAGTGAATCATGCGGTCATTAATCAAATCTGACTTCTCCTATTGACTTGGCTCGTCGGACGAGCTAGGAAGGTTACAAATGGTGATCACATGACCCCCCCCAGGACAATGCAACTGTCATTAAATACATGCCAGTTGCATGTATTTTGATCATGTGACCGCAGGAATGCTTCAACAGTCGTAAGTGTGAGAACTGGCCATACGTCACTTTTTTTTAGTGCTGTTGTAAAGTTGGTCACTAAACAAATGGCTGTACATTGAGGTCTGCTTGTACTGGGTATTGACTCAGTAAAGTATTATTTGGTGTCATGATGGAAAAAATAAAAAAGGCCCCCACCATTTTCAGAGAATCTTTTCAAGATTAACCAGGAAAGGAAAGGGGGAACAGAAAATATGTTTTCCCAACACCACATCAAACTGAGCAGTGAACTCCTACCCATACAATGACCACCAGAGACCATCTGACCTTCAGCGTGATTGTTGCATCACCTTCCTTTCTCGCGCTAAACGCCGAGGCAGAAAAATAAGCTTTGGGTATGTGCCTTTGACACAGAACCTTGCTGACAATATTCTGCATTTTTTGTTCTTTTCCTTTGCAGTCTGAGACTTCAGCAGAATCCTCTGCTGTCCTTCCATTTTGCTTGGGCCATCGGCAGGTTGCCTCCCTATCACGATCCTGAGGAATACCAGAATTTCATCAACATCTACGGCACCCATTATATCAACCGGGTGTATCTGGGCGGGCGAGCCCGCTATTTGCTGGCCTTTAAAACGTGTGCCATGAGCTTAATGGGGTTCACGGCGGAGAAAGTCAAGGCCTGTTTGGATTTGGAGACATCCCTGAAACGTAAAGGGCTTTGGGGAGCTGTCTCCTTCCATTCCGAATGTGCCAAGCTCTGGTTTGGGAAATCTAAACCCAGCTTCTACGACCTTTATATGACCCAGCACACCGAGTTGATAGGAGGTCACATACAGATGCTCTTCTCGGACAGCAGAGACATGCACCATCTCTCCGAGTGGATGGAGAGCACCAAAAGGACACCCGGGCTGGTGTCTTATTCCCTTTTGTCTCTACACACCTTGTTGAACAAGACGGATCCCAGGAGAGATTTTTTGAAGCAAGCCACTGTGAGCTACATCAAACGGAGAGCCCTAAGGAGAGATTGTCGTCAAAGCTGTCCCGAGAATAACTTCAACAGCTGGGTCCGAAGGTGCACCTGCATGTGTATACCGAACGGTATCATCAACGACAAATGTTGTGGCACCGAGCGGGGCAGGGCGTACCTCAAGTTCCATGTGGACAGCGGATCCGGTCTTTGGGGTGACCATTTTTCCTCCACCGATGCCTATGTCAAATTTTTTTTTCAAAACCAGGAAAGGCGCACTAGGGTCATCGGTGGGAACAACGATCCTCAGTGGTCGGAAAATCTGGACTTTGGGGCTATCACGTTGGAGGGCAACGACAAGTTTGTGGTGGAAGTTTGGGACAGCGATGTTTGGCACGATGACCTCTTGCATAGATGTCACGGGAGGTTGAGGTCAGGTCTTAGCAACTGGCAAAAATGCTACCTCCGTTACGGACACGTTAAGTTCTATTACGTGTTGATGTGTGCCCCCACTCTGACCGGGTCCAGCTGCCATGACTACGTCCCTTTGCATCTGCCAACCTCCTATTTCAACAACACTAATACCAATTGGGAAACTTCATGGTCACACAAATTTCGTGCCTAGGGACTGCATGGGTAGGGCTCATCCTGATAAATTAAGGCATTATTCAGAATTGGAAGGAATCTGTTATGATGTCCCTATGAATTTTCTTCTATGCAACAACTGGGAAAGAGTTGTGGAACAGATGATTCCTACACAATGTACTTGTAGTCCTCAATTTATGACAATTATGCCTAAAATTTCTGTTGTTAAAGGAGACAATTGTTAGTCAGTTGTCAAGTGTCTGAATTTTGATCATATGACCATGGGGATGCGGCAATGGTCATAAACGTGAAAAATGGTCATAAGTTAATTTTTTCAGTGATGTTGCAACTTTGAACAGTCACTAATTGAACTGTTGTGAGACGAGGCCTATCTGTAATTCCAAAACATTTGAACATATTGATGTAATAACATGCTGCCAAAATCATTGTTTAAGAGATCTGACAGATGGGATTAAGGACGTTGTGGGAACATAGAATCCTAATATAGAGCTCTCCTTATTTACAGGGTAGTCCTCGACTTATAACCATTCCTTCAGTGACGGTTCAAAGTTACAACACACTGAAAAAAGTGACTTATGACCTTTTTTCACACCTACAACCATTGCAGCATCCCCACGGTCACATCATCAAAATTTGGATGCTTAGCAACTGGCATGTTTTTATGACGATCACAGGGTCCCAGGGTCATGTGATCCCCTTTTGTGACCTTCTGACATGTAAAGTCAAGGGGGAAGCCAGATTCTCCTAACAACCATGTTACTAACTCACCAACTGAAGTGGTTCACTTAACAACTGTGGCAAGAAAGGTTGCAAAATGAGGCAAAACTCACTTCAAGTACATTCCTAAAAAATGTACTTGTAGTCCTCAATTTACCACCACAATTGAGCCCAAAAATTTCTGCTGTAAGCGAGACCACTGTTAGGTGAATTTTGCCCCATTTTACGCCTTTGCTTACCACAGTTGTTAAGTGAATCACTGCAGTTGTTAAGTTAGTAACAGGGTTGCTAAGTGAATCTGGCTTCCCCATTGGCTTTGCTTGTTGAAGGTCTCAAAAGGGGATCACGTGATCCCGGGACTGTGCTGGACTGGTAACGTAATCACCTGGCCAGAGCATGTATTAGCTATAAGAACTGTATGTTAGAATGTTTGGCATTTAAAGGGTTAGACGCTGTTTCCTTAAGAGATGGCTTATGGGTAATGTAGTTTAGCTGTTCAGTGAATCCTATGTTTAACAAGTCAGTGGGAGGGGCTACTAAGTTCATCACAGGATATCCTGGCTACGTGCCAGCTTGAAAGGAATGCCTTTGTCTTGTGCCTTTGTATTGTTTTCACTACTTGAATGCTAGCCATGTGGTGGCTGGACTAAGATCTCCAACATGTAAGGTTACACAGAAGAGGGGAAATCCATTGTCAATTTACCTGTGAAAATGAGCTTATTGCTGTCTATGTTCTGGATGAATTTCTACATAAACGTAAGTTGATGTTTGAAGATTCCTAGAATAAAAGTGATATTTTGTCTTGTTTTCACTGAGTAACTGCCTGTCTCAGCGGAATCCAGCAGCTTATTCTGTGTGGGACAGAATAGGGACACTGCAACTGTCATAAATATGAACCCTTTGCCAAGTATCCACCTTTTGATCACGTGACCCTGGGGATGCTGTAATTGTGAAAACGGTCATAAGTCACTTTTTCAGTGCCGTTATAACGTCAAACATTCACTAAATGAACTGTTGTAAGTCAACAACTACCTGTATAAATGTAGGTGGGCTCAATCATTTATTTTTTTCTTAATGCCTTTGTTATTATGATGCACCAGTGCTTTCCAAGTGGTCCAATTATACCATGGACCAGGTATATATACCAGGGCACCCAGTTGTGAACTTGTAACATGACAGGGGCCCTTTTTGCATAGGCCATGATCACATCCTGGATGGCTCTTATATTTTTGTATTTATAATTAGAGAAGCAGTAGCATGCTGTGAAAAGTTCATTCAACATCTTCACATATGGTTCAGCGAAGGACTACTAGCAACTCAGCCCTGCTAGCAACACTTAAAGGAACTGGATATATTTAGCTTGCAAAAGAAAATGGTCAGGGGAGATGTCTATGGAGATTCTCAGTCATCCAGGTCAGGGTTGTCCCAAAGGTGTTTTTTTCAAGAGGCAACTGTATTGGCACTTTTTTTTCCTCAAAAATGTTTTGCTTCTCATCCAAGAAGCTTCTTTAACTCAGAATTGAATGAGAAGTGAAATATCTTCAAGGAAGAACAAATGAAGTCCAGTTGCCTCTTAAAAGAAAGTACCTTTGGGATGGCTAAGGGGAGATACAAAAGCAATCTTCAGATATACAAAGCTTGTCAGATTAGAAGATTGGGTAGATTTGTTATGTGCATCCCCAAAGCCAGGAAATACCAGAATTCAGTGGACAGGAACCAGATTTGAGAAAGAACCGTCCACCATTGAAATGATCTTTTTCAAGATATGGAAATCTTCAAATAGAGGCTGGAGAGGAATCTGTCTTCACATCTTGGACTAAGCAGGATGTCCGGCCAGGTGACCTCCAAGATTTTTTTCCAGTGCTAGACTCTAGAAAAAATGCAGAGAAAAGCAACAAAGATGATTAGGGGACTGGCGGCTAAAACATATGAAGAACGGTTACAGGAACTGGGCATGGCTAGTCTAGTGAAGAGAAGGACCAGGAGTGACATGATAGCAATGTTCCAATATTTGAGGGGCTGTCACAGAGAGGAGGGGATCAACCTATTTTCCAAAGCACCTGAAGGCCAGACAAGGAATAACGGATGGAAGCTGATCAAGGAGCGATTCAACCTAGAGATAAGTAGAAATTTTCTGACAGTGAGAACAATCAACCAGTGGAACAAACTGCCTTCAGATGTTGTGGGAGTTTCATCACTGGAAGCTTTCAAGGAGAGACTGGACTGCCATCTGTCAGAAATGGTGTAGGGTCTCCTGCTTGAGCGGTGGGGGGGGCGGGGGTTGGACTAGATGACCTACAAGGTCCATTCCAACTCTATTATTCTAATTTTAATTGATATTTGAAGCCTGTAATCCAACATTACATCAGGTCTCACTGTGACTAAGTCAATATCCCTGATTTATCACGCATCGTGACAGGTCCCTTTTCTGCCTAGGTACCATACATAAAAAACTCCAAAACTGATTGTTCCTGAAAAAGGTCACCTGCCATATTTTGAAGGATGAGTTCATCAGCTTCTTCAGTGATACATTCTGGCCTAACTACACACACATTTAGAAGAATTCTCTTCTATCAGATCCTTCCAGTCCTATTCAAGCTTCAGCAACTTTCACACGATCTGTGTAATAATACATATAAAATATACAGAAATAAATCTCCAAATCTGTTCATGATGTACGCTTTGTTCTTTTTTTCCTTCATTATATTGTTGTTTTATTCCTTGATTTGTACCAATCCGTGGCTTTTCTGTAGGATTATGAATAAAGAATGCTAAACTTGAAGAGTTTATAATAATAAATACTAAATAATAAATATTTGAGGGGTTGTCACAAAGAAGAGGGAGTCAACCTTATTTTCCAAAGCAGGAGAATTAAAAACTGAACTCCAAGCAGGGAAAATACTGGGGGGAGACTAGTCTGAATTGGGTTATGAAGCTGGCGGTGCTTCACCTCTTCCCATTGTACTCAAAGCTGCCGGCCGTGAGTCATTCCCAAATCCCGAACGAAGCCACGGAGGCATCCGCGGGGAGGAGCCTAGGACCCCCCTCTCCGCTTCTCCTGCCTCGATTCTAGGGCTTGATCGGAGATCCACATTGCTGGGAACTCACCCACCTTCAGAAGGTGGCACCCTGCTAGGGTGGCAACTTGGCCCTTCCCTCAGACCTTCCCAGAGGCGGAAGTAGGGTGATAGACACCCAGCTAGTGGCCTCTACGGAGAGCTTCCTCCCAGCAATTATCTATGGCTTTCACAACAAATCTTATATAAACACGAATTCTTAACTTTCTCACAAGTTACGGTGGCTGTTCATTTGTGTCCGATGTCTTCGTATTAGTTCCAAGTACCAAAAAAATTAAACCTTTAACTAAAAGAAACAATGCTTACAGATTATAAAACATGTCTCTTGGAACAAAACAGGGGCGGGAGAATGGATAGTTCAACTTTGAGCGGCGACCATCATGCACCTCTTTTCATTTGCAAATCGCCCTTCGCTTTTTCTCCCTCTGCTTCCACCCCCCGAGCCGGTTTAGCCAATGGATGGACGAGGATCTCTCCCCGCTCCTCCCCCCCTCCCCGCGGGACCTTCCCGCTTTTTTTTTCGAGCGCCGCCCCACATGCAAATTTGACGAATGCAAATAAAAGGGGTGGAGTCTGCCCGGGGGAGGGGGCGCAGAACGTTGCCGGGAAGGACCCTGCGAGAGAAAGGCGGAAGCGGCATCCCGGGTGGTGAAAGCGGAAGTTGCTGGTGAGTGGCGCGTTGGTTGCAAAAAAACCGGGGAGACGCGTTCGCACGACGCGGGAAAGCTAGTTTTGCATTAGCATCAAGTCGGGGCGGGGGATATCAGCGGGGCAAAGTTCCAAAAACTCCTCTTTGCAGTAAAATAGACCTTGTTAAGAAATGGATGGGGGAGGGAATAGGGGTGGAAGCAAAAAAGGCGGAGAGAGGGGGAAATGCGCGTTTAGGATTAGATAGATAGATAGATAGATAGATAGATAGATAGATAGATAGATAGATAGATAGATAGATAGATAGATAGATAGACATTGATAGACATTGATAGATAGACATTGATAGATAGACATTGATAGGTAGGTAGACTGACAGATAGATAGATAGATAACCTTTATTGTCATTTTTTTTACATTAAAAATGAAATTCTGTTGCCTGTTCTCAAAAGTGTACACATACATAACACATATACACATGCTATATACATAGATATGCATATACCTACACCCTTACATATGAATACACATAAATAGTAATCACTGTCCATCTTGAATGCATAGCGGAAAGAGGACGCTTGAGAGTACACAAGGTTGATACTGTATGGCACAAAACTGTGGCTGAATCTGGATGTTCTGCTTCGGATACCACGGAGCCTCCTCCCACAAGATAACAAGGAAAATAGGTTATGAAGAGGGTGTGTAGTGTCCCAGACAATCCTGCGGACCTTGC